TATATATATATATATATATATATATACATACATACATACATATACACATATAACTGTATATATATATATATATATATATATATATATATATATATATATATATATATATATATGGTTAATTAGGTTTGTATGTGTGTGTGTGTTTAGGCTTAAATACATATATTTGCGTTCAAAATACATTGTTTTATACAGAAAGCTTTTTAGTTGAGCAGTTTAAACCTTTCCCTGATTGATAATTAACTCAGGTTTCAGGAAGTTTATTAAGTTTTCAAAGCGGAATCAAATCCCTATCCATGGAATCCAAGGACTCAGAGATTGGTCCTATTCAAGGTTGCTGGGACGCCTGGAGCCGTTGTACCACGTATGTTTTGTTTTAGTTAGGCTTCTCAACAAGTGAAATAGGGGGTTAGCGTGATCGAGTCGGTAAAGCTCATGGTTGTTAAAATTCGAAAAAAAAAGTCTCGAGTTCGAACCCTCTGGCAGATAAGGCTCGATCCCTTCCAACACTAAAAATGAGAACGAAGAAGAAGGACAAGAAAATGCACGTGAAGAGTTATACCCGGTTTTAATAATTAAATAGTATATTTTTTTCTTCAAGATTATCATATATTTAAAAGAAACTTCCGCGGGCAGATAAGGCTCGTTAGCTGGGGTCAACCACTCTTCTAGGAGAGACAACTCCGAAATCAAACAACTGCTGCATTGTAGTTTGTTCTTGGATGGACAAAGGCTATGGAAGCAAATCGAAAAAAGAAAAGCCGTCTAAAGTCTGAGTCAATGACCTCAATGGTGCATAACCAGTTGACACGTATACTTAATTGTGTTGGAGGGAATCCCTTCCGACACTAAAATTAAGATAGAAGAAGAAGACAAAAAGAAAGTGTGGGTTAAAAAGAATTTTAAATATTTTTTTTTCTCCGATCGAATTGCTCGTTCATCAAACACCCATTACGGTGTAGTCAGCCATGATCCATTGGGATTGCATCACATTATTAACTTTCCCTGATGTAAAGATTTAAATTTCCCCAACAGTTTATTTTTCTTTATACCTTAATACATTGTACACATTTCTTAACATTTTATGACCTATACACTTGGCCTTTTTTTACTTTCTCGTATATACGAAGTATAGAGAAAGTATTGTAATCGTGCAAAAAAAAATAAAAAATCGAGATTTTTACAAATCTCGACGTTTTACACCTCACTGATACGGAAAAACATAATTTTGCAATCTTGTCCGTATGTCTGTGTGTCTGTCTGTGTGTCTGTCTGTCTGTGTGTAAACACGATAACTTGAGTACCGTTACAGCTAGGTTGATGAAATTTCATATATAAGTATTTTATCGAAATCGTAGATCCTGATCAACTTGTGAGCGATTTCCGATAACCGGAAGTGGTACTTTTTCTACTTACAATTTTTCAAAAGCCTATAACATGAGTACTATTTCAGATAGATAAATGAAATTTCGTTGACCGGAAGTACTAATTTACGCTATTTCCGATTTCTCAAAAAACGCACGTAAATTTATAAAGTACTAATAATATTGCGCACTATTATGCACCTTTTGTTTTGCCGTTCGCTTGGTGTGCAATTCTTTTTTTCTATGAGATTCTATTCTATTTTTAAAAGTTTAAGAAATAAAAAAATCATGTCTATATTCCAAGTTACATAAGAATATTCAAGAAAGTTTAGGGGAGATCACTCCCGGTTTATTAAATTTTATTGTGAAGAAAACCTGACATTTTCTACTTTCTCGTATACAGAGTAAAGAGTAAACATTGCACCCCAATGTACTAACCTTTTTACTTTCTCGTATACAAAGTAAAGAGTAAACATTGCACCCCAATGCACTAACCTTTTTACTTTCTCGTATACAAAGTAAAGAGTAAACATTGCACCCCAATGCACTAACCTTTTTACTTTCTCGTATACAAAGTAAAGAGTAAACATTGCACCCCAATGCACTAACTGCATCTACTTTCTCGTATACATAGTATAGAGTAAACATTGCACCCCAATGCATTAACTGTATCTACTTTCTCGTATACAAAGTAAAGAGTAAACATTGCACCCCGATGCACTAACCCTTTTACTTTCTCGTATACAAAGTAAAGAGTAAACATTGCACCCCAATGCACTAACTGTATCTACTTTCTCGTATACAAAGTAAAGAGTAAACATTGCACCCCAATGCACTAACCTTTTTACTTTCTCGTATACAAAGTAAAGAGTAAACATTGCACCCCGATGCACTAACCCTTTTACTTTCTCGTATACAAAGTAAAGAGTAAACATTGCACCCCAATGCACTAACCTTTTTACTTTCTCGTATACAAAGTAAAGAGTAAACATTGCACCCCAATGCACTAACTGTATCTACTTTCTCGTATACAAAGTATAGAGTAACCATTGCACACCAATGCACTCACTGTATCTACTTTCTCGTATACAAAGTATAGAGTAACCATTGCACACCTATACACTCACCTTTTCTACTTTCTCGTATACAAAGTATAGAGTAACCATTGCACACCCATGCACTTACTTTATCTACTTTCTCGTATACAAAGTATAGAGTAACCATTGCACACCTATGCACTCACCTTTTCTACTTTCTCGTATACAAAGTATAGAGTAACCATTGCACACCTATACACTCACCTTTTCTACTTTCTCGTATACAAAGTATAGAGTAACCATTGCACACCTATACACTCACCTTTTCTACTTTCTCGTATACAAAGTATAGAGTAACCATTGCACACCTATGCACTCACCTTTTCTACTTTCTCGTATACAAAGTATAGAGTAACCATTGCACACCTATACACTCACCTTTTCTACTTTCTCGTATACAAAGTATAGAGTAACCATTGCACACCTATGCACTCACCTTTTCTACTTTCTCGTATACATTGCACCTCGTCGCACTCCCCTTATTTTAATTACACAGGTGGAGCAGTCCTCTGACTGGCATCGCATGGCAATCATGCGAAGACCGCTGTAAGGAACTGGGGAAGAGCGGTGGCATCTGCGTTCTGGCACCTTCCAACTGCCCCATTGCTAAAGAGACTCTCCAGTGCCAATGTACTAATGATAAGAAAAAGTGAAAAAAAAATTATGTCTAATACAAGTAGCTGATAAATAATGACAAGGCATTTTTCTTCTTTTTTTTAATTAATAAAATGATGTCTATGAAAATTTGAAGAGAAAGAATGTCTGTTTTAATTATTTTTTTTATAATACCGATTTCCATTTTAGGGGGGTCTGGCTTTTTGTGACGATGTGTGACGGAGGGGAGGGAGGTAAAAATCGTCAAAAAAAGCGTGACTTCATTGATGGATGACCCCAAAACCTGAAAGAAAGAATGTTTAAATAAATAGCTTATGCCCCATTAGAAGATTCAAAAGGTGAATCAGACTAGAAAAAATTATTATCAGGTGGACAGTACCAAGTCTACATTTTTTGTATTTATAATTACTCAGGCTATAAAAAATGTATCAACACACTGTTGACACGATCCTTACGATTGCGTAATTCTAACATCTGCCGACTTAAATCTTGGACTTAGTCAATAGATTAATACTCAGTTTTATGTGCTGTTTTTTTTTTAAAATCTGTGTTAAAAGTCGCATCGGAAGATCAATGCTTTCTTTTATGGTGGTAGCAGTAGCGTAGCGAGGGGGGGGGGGGGGCGGGGGGGGGGGAACATATGTCCCCGGGCGCCGAGCTTAGGGGGCGCCAAATTGGGTTGGAAAAATAAATTGAAAGGTTGAGGGGGGTGGAAATTGAAAGTTTGAGGGGGGGGGTGCAAATCAAAATCTCGAGGGGGGTGCAAATCGAAAAGTTTGTCCCCGGGCGTCGGGACGGGTCGCTACGCCTCTGGGTGGTAGGAAGAAACATGTAGGCCTACATTAGTGTGCACGTTTCACTTTTTAATTTTATGTTAAGTTTATGGATTTTATGTGAAAAGGCTTTGTTCATCTTTATACGCACTCACACTCATATTAATTATGACTCCCACGATATATACTCGCTCTTACAATAACCTATAGTTATAATAATTAAAACAAACTACAAAGGTTATATATTATAATAATTTAAATAAATATACAAAATAAAGGTCATTAGCCTAGGAGTTGCCAAAAAATTTTTTACACCTAAATAAATACTAACATTGGTGTAACAGTATCACTTAGAATACCGAACCATTTATGTGACTGAAAATAATGCATAATCTACACACTGATCTTGTACATGAAATAGAAGAAGTGTGTGTGTGTGGGGGAGGAGGGGGGGGGAAAGAAAGGGAGGTCCGAAAAAGTTTATTTTTAAGAAATGTATGGCCTTTGTGTGTGTGTGTAGTGGGGGTGTCCTTGTGGATGTACAGTCTCTTAATTGTTAAAATAAACACGAAGCAAAACACGCACGCATATCCAAAATCGAGGGTTGTGGAAAAAAGGAGGGTACACAATTCCATTTATTTTTTAATGTGGAAGATATAAACTGATGACCCCATTCTGAAAAATTGTCATGGCATTGAAATAAATCGATAATATTTTTAGAACACAGACCTTTAACGAAACTTGTACTTGTTTGAGAAAGAAATAAACACAACTGACAGGTATGCATACATATCCTACGCATGCATAAACAAGTGCATAAAACTGAGTTAAAATTGCGTTATAAAATAATAAAAGAAAAACTAACTTGAGACCATGTAACATTCACCTCTCATTATGGATTAGATGTATTAAAAAATCCAAAATATTTTAGGTTTTAATCAAATTTGTCGTTAAAATAAATAAAAACTTGTTAAAATATTTTTAGTTGCTTAGCAAAAAAAATATTTGTTCGCGGGTATTTAAAATTTTTAACTTTGGTCCTCATAAGCCTTTGTAAAATTGAATACCACATTATCGTCTTGGCGAGGCAATAATAATAAACGTCCTTTGGAACATCCTATATAGACAGTCGCGTGAGCGAATCATTGAACGAGGACTTCTACTCGGTAAAGAAACATTGATGACGCTTGGTAAGTTTTTTCGACAAATTAGGTATCTAAGTCAGGAATAGCCACTGGGTGATGTCTCGAAGTTTTCAACCCAACCCCAAAGCTCTAATGTTCAGTGGTAGAGCCCTAGTCTACAAACTGTTAAGTCGCGAGTTCGGATCTTTGGCTTGAGTTGATAGGATGTGACGTGTAGACCTATATGACTTATGACTTATTATCCTTTTTTATGTCAAGGTCAGAGTAACAGACAGGGTTCGGAGTGATCCGTTCATTAAAGCTCATGGGTACCTGACAGTCTATAGGGCAAGTGAAGTAGAGTTGATGTGTTTCTGTGACCTCGGCATATGAAGAGATAGTGTGGTCAGCACTATGCCCAGCCGCCTTTACTTTCCCTAATGTGAGTTAGGTACCCATCAGAGTTGGGTGGACTCAGGGACGGTCTACTGACTTGAACCCGGATACATAATCGAGACGTACGGGTTAGCAGTCCAGCTCTCTTCGGCTAGACCACGCAGTCCCTCATGGGTGCTCAACCAAAACGCCCCGAGTTCGAATGCCCGGGCAGATGATGCTCTATAAATGGGTTAACAGCCCATCTAGGAGAGACAACTCCAAAATAAATAAAAAATCTGTCTTTTAGTTTGTTCTTGGGTAGACAAAAGCAACGGAATCAAATCATAAAAGTAAATCTGGCTAACACGTTGGTTTACTGATAATACTTAATTGTGTTACAATTAAGAACGAAGAAGAAGAAGAAAGAGATTCAGATGAGCTTTAATTAATCTGTTCTATGGAACATCCTGTTGTAGTTGTTTCTTTCTTTGGTGAATGTTTTATTTGTTTCTTAATTGTTTGTCATGTTTCTTTCTTTAGTGAATGTCTTGTTTCTTTCTTTGGTGAATATCTTGTTTCTTTCTTTAGTGTATGTCTTGTTTCTTTCTTTAGTGTATGTATTGTTTCTTTCTTTAGTGTATGTATTGTTTCTTTCTTTGGTAAATGTCTTGTTTCTTTCTTTAGTGTATGTATTGTTTCTTTCTTTGGTGAATGTCTTGTTTCTTTCTTTAGTGAATGTCTTGTTTCTTTCTTTGGTAAATGTCTTGTTTCTTTCTTTAGTGAATGTCTTGTTTCTTTCTTTGGTGAATGTCTTGTTTCTTTCTTTGGTGAATATCTTGTTTCTTTCTTTGGTAAATGTCTTGTTTCTTTATTTAGTGTATGTCTTGTTTCTTTCTTTGGTGAATGTCTTGTTTCTTAATTTATTGAATGGCTTGTTTCTTTCTTTAGTGTATGTCTTGTTTCTTTCTTTGGTGAATGTCTTGTTTCTTAATTTATTGAATGGCTTGTTTCTTTCTTAATTTATTGAATGTCTTGTTTCTTTCTTTGGTGGTTTCTTAATTGTATGACTTGTAGAACACTGAAAGATCCCAGCAAAAACTACTACATAGATTGTTCTTATAGTTATACTGTCAGAATTCACAAACAATTTTTTGTCTTTCCTCCAAAAAATAATGATCAGAATTCCAAATATCTACATACAGTAACTTAAACTAAATAGAAAACTGCCCACACACCAACATTTGAGATTTCAAGACTGAATGTCTGAGATGAGTCCATTCACAATTCTGTTCTCGCGTGTGCTACTCTGTTGATCTTCTGTTCTAGAACAGCTGGCGAGTCAAAGAATATTTATAACATATGCAACCGGTGAGTACAATTGGCAGCTGTTTTCATTCAACCGTACGGTTGTTTATTACTGAAAATTGTGTTTCCCAATGTAAATAACGTACCATATTCCGGGCATTTATAGACCAATTACTCATACAAACACTAAGGCCATATATATATATATATATATATATATATATATATATATATATATACATATATATATATATATATATAATGTATATTATATATATATATATATATATATATATATTATATATATATATATATATATATATCCTTAGTGTTTGTAGATATATATATATATATATATATATATATATATATATATATATATATATATATATATATAATATCTACACATGTATATTTATATGCATATTATATAGATACATATAAATATACTAATATATTATATATATATATATATATATATATATATATATATATATTATATATATATATATATATTTATATATATATAATATATATATATATATATATAGTAATGTTTGAAAACGTGCTTGGCTGAAAGTGAGTTGTGCCATACTGGGTGAGAAAGAATTTAACATTTTAGAGAGCACAATTTATAACATTCTAATGGTTCTAGCTGTTTCTAGTTAGTCGATTTTGTAGAGATTTATATAGTCTAGAATTATTTTATGGGCAACAAAAGGAGATGATGGTTGACTGTAGTGGATCTACATTTAGCCCCGGAGGAGTTCAAGCCTGTCAGACATTCTGTGACCCTGACGATGGAAGGTGTGAGCACTTCAATGGACCCGCCAAGTTCTTTGAGCGTGGGCAATGGATGTGCGTGAACACAAAATTGCGATGCTCGTGTCATAAGAAAACAACAAGAAGAACAACAAGGCGAACGACCCGTGTACCTTCACACATTCCACCATCCTACCCACCATCCTTCCCCCATTCTACCCCCATCCTACCCCCCATCAAACCCACCATCCTACCCCACCAGCCAACCCACCATCATATCCCCCATCCAACCCAACATCTACCCCCCATCTTACCCACCATCCTACCCCCCATCCAACCCCCCATCATACCCACCATCTTACCCACCATCCAACCCGAAATCCTACCCTCCATCCTACCACCATCCAACCCCCCATCCTACCCACCATCCTACCCACCATCCTACCCCCCATCCTACCCCCCATCCAGCCCCCCATCCTACCCCCCATCTTACCCACCATCCTACCCACCAGTCCTACCGCCCATCCTACCCACCATCCTACCCACCATCCTACCCACCATCCTACCCACCATCCTACCCGCCATCCTACCCACCCTCCAACCCACCATCATACCCACCATCCTACCCCCCATCCTACCCTCCATCCTACCCACCATCCATCCCCCCATCCTACCCACCATCCTACCCACCATCCTATCCCCCATCCAGCCCCCCATCCTACCCCCCATCTTACCCCCCATCCTACCACCATCCTACCCACCATCTTACCCACCATCTTACCCACCATCTTACCCACCATCCTACCCACCATCCTACCCACCATCCTACCCCCACCATCAAACCCACCATCCTACCCCCCATCCTACCCACCATCCAACCCGCCATCCTACCCACCATCCAACCCACCATCCTACCCACCATCCAACCCACCATCCTATCCCCCATCTTTCCCCCCATCCAACCCACCATCCAACCCACCATCCTATCCCCCATCTTACCCACCAATCCTACCCCCCATCCTACCCACCATCCAACCCGCCATCCTACCCACCATCCAACCCACCATCCTACCCACCATCAACCCACCATCCTATCCCCCATCTTACCCCCCCATCCTACCCACCATCCAACCCACCATCCTACCCACCATCTTACCCACCATCCCTACCCACCATCCAACCCACCATCCTATCCCCCATCTTACCCCCCAATCCTATCCCACCATCCAACCCACCATCCTACCCACCATCTTACCCACCATCCTACCCCCCGTCCAACCCACCATCCTATCCCCCATCTTACCCCCCATCTTACCCCCCATCCTACCCCCCATCCAACCCACCATCCAACCCACCATCCAACCCACCATCCAACCCACCATCCTACCCACCATCCAACCCACCATCCTACCCACCATCCAACCCACCATCCTACCCACCATCCAACCCACCATCCTATCCCCCATCTTACCCCCCATCTTACCCCCCATCCTACCCCCCATCCAACCCACCATCCAAACCCACCATCCAACCCACCATCCAACCCACCATCCTACCCACCATCCAACCCACCATCCTACCCACCATCCAACCCACCATCCTACCCACCATCCAACCCACCATCCTATCCCCCCATCTTACCCCCCATCTTACCCCCCATCCTACCCCCCATCCAACCCACCATCCAACCCACCATCCAACCCACCATCCAACCCTCCATCCTACCCCCCCATCCAACCCACCATCCTACCCCCCATCCCACCCCACCATCCTATCCCCCATCCTACCCCCCATCCTACCCCCCATCCAGCCCCCCATCCAACCCACCATCCTATCCCTCAACATGCTAACCATCAAACCCCTAACCCACCAACACACCTATCAAGGTAAACTAATGCACCATTTGTCGGAATATAAATTCTGTTTTTTTTAAAATAAACTTTCTTTCAGTTAACAATGCCTGTTTGCTTATAGGTTTTACAATCATTTAGCTGATTTTAGCAACTTACTCAACACAACTTTCCAATATTTGATTTCTAAGTATAAGTATTAGTGATCCATCATGTTTTTTACATTATCGAAAAAAAGTCTCATCATTTAAACCGTTTTATTTGTTATTGAAAGATAAAAGCAATGCTAAGAATACATTTGGCCGTAAACCAATTTCCCAGCCTGTTTGTTTTGCTTGTTTGTTTGTTTGTTCGTTTGTTTGTCTGACTGTTTGTTTGTTTGTTTGTTTGTTTATTTGTTTGTTTGTTTGTTTGTTTGTTTGTTGTTGTTTGTTTGTTTGTTTGTTTGTTTTGTTTGTTTGTTTGTTTGTTTTGTGTTGTTTGTTGTTTGTTTGTTTGTTTGTTTTTTTGTTTGTTTGTTTGTTTGGTTTGTTTGTTTGTTTGTTTGTTTGTTTGTTTGTTTGTTTGTTTGTGTTTGTTTGTTTGTTTGTTTGTTTGTTTGTTTGTGGCAAGTCATGCAACTCAATTTTTAACCGACCTTATAATTAAGCGATTTCGTTTAACCTATCCAGATACATTAATCTCCAATGACAATGCAAAAATATCTATTTTTAATCTAATAAGCAAATTAGGTTTGTCATTGAAAGTAATACAAAAAATTACTATCAGTAAAAATATATGACGGCGGTAGAGAGCTAGACAGCTAACTCGAAAGTCTCGAGTTTCGAATCCGGTTTTCAAATCAGTAGAGCTTCCTTGAGTCCACCCAGCTTCTGATGGGTACCTAACTCAGGTTAGGGAAAAGCAAAAGCGGCTGGGCCTAGTGCTGACCACACTATCCCTTCCTATCCCGAGGTCTCTGAAAAAGAATCTTCATCAGCCCCATATGTCGTGAACACGAATGGGAAAACATTATATTAAAAGATAAAATGGGAGGCAACAAGATTAAATACTAAAGATGCCTCGATCAACAGGGTGAACTGTTAGTCATTACGACTTGCCGATTTCTTGCCTGAGCGTCGACGACGAACTATGAATGGGGTAGATAACTGTCTTCTACAGATTTCCAGCTAGTGTTTTAAAGCAGAGATTTTTACATGTGTAGTGTCTACTTTATTTTGAACGAATTTCTAAAAAGTAGAAAGTAAAACCAATCTAAAAACCATTATTTTAGCAAGGCTTTAAATGCACTGCAAATAAGAAACTAACACAGAATTCCATGCTTTATTAAAATGCTGTGATCGTAAAATCTTAAAGAGATCTCATGGGCACCAATACAAATGGAATCTTCTTACCCCTACTCCCCCTCCGCGTGGAATTCATAAACAGACGAACCCCCCACCCCCCACCCCCCCGCATTAATTGTGACACGTTGTATGCTGTTTGGTGTATAAAATCATTTTATGACTTTTCATGTTTAATGTTGAAATAGATAAGATGTAAGCTATCTCATCTAAATATTGCTTTAGGTATTTATATTAATATTATTCGTGATAGACAGCAAATTAGCCTTTATCAAAACTTCAAATGTCAAGTTTTTCAATTTAATATTGTTTTTTTCAGGGAACACTACTTTGGGATAATATATTCGAACGTTGTTAATTAGTCTTATTTTTAAATTTACCAATTCCAAAAACGAAATTAAATTTGAAATAAATAAAGGAATGCACTACATGTTTTTTCAATTATTTTACTGTCTCTACATACACAACATATTCCTAACGTCTAACCTAACTAGTCCACTACATATGTTTTGTTCTACGCAGTGGCGTAGCGAGGTCGGGTGTCACCCGGTGCGGCACTTATGGTGTCAACCCCCAGAGACGTAGCGACCCTTCCCGGGGACAAACTGTCAATTTTCGATTTGCACCCCCCCTCAAACTTTCGATTTGCACCCCCCCCCCTCAAACTTTCGATTTGCACCTCTTAAAACACTATTTAACACTCAAACTAATCACTTAATTAAGTCGAATTATCATTTTTCTCTATATATTTTGCTATTTTTTGCCTTGGTGTCACCCCACTAAATGGTGTTCACCCGGTGCGGTCCGCACCCCTCCCCCTCGCTACACCTCTGGTTCTACGCAATTTGTTCCTCTCGCTATCTCCGTTCAACTCCGCTGTCACATGACTGACCAGCTGACCGTAACAGTCATCTCATTTCTCATTGGTGTTGCTATTCCATTGGTTCTTACCCCTAGCTCAACTCCTTGTCCAATGGGTATCCTATAATCTCCTACCTCGCTCCTCTCATTAACCTATTTCTAATGTTGACCAAATTTGTATCATCATATACTTTGATATATATATATATATATATATATATATATATATATATTATATATATTATATTATATATATATAGTATATATATATATATATATATATATATATATATATATATATATATATATGCATATGTAATTCTTAATTTAGCTTCTGCTCCAAATATCCAGCGTATTAAACAGCCGTATTAAAACAAATAAAATTGCTTATGTTTCTATAAACACTAAGCACCATTATTACAATGTTATCTCTTTTGATACCGCTCGCAAAGTAAAACACAGTTTAAGTGTATGTTTAAATGAAGTTGAAACTTGATATTGGATCACTTGGTCTGATGTTAGAGGTATGACTGCTAAAGTTCGGGTCCGTAGGAGTTGATCCAGCACTGATTGGAAACAGGACTCACCTTAAGGAAAGTAAAGGCTGCTGCACATTGTTACTGCCCCTTCCTATACCGTGGTCACAGATCCAGGCGAGATTTACTGCCCTATGGGTAGAGTTTCTTCCAGGCATCTCTCAGGGGTGCCCACCCCCGAACGAAATGGAATTTATATTGAAAACATATACTTTTACCAGTGTCCGCCCCCCCCCCCCCGAAAATGTTGTCCGCCCCCCCCCCCCCCCCGAAAATATCAAGTGCCCCCCCCTCCCCCCCCCGCGGTAAAAAAAACAAGTCTGGAAAAAACAATGCTTATGTTCAAAAAGGTAACTTACCTTTACAAACTTTGTAAGTAAGTAAAAACAAGGCTTGGTATTTTTTTTATTGCACATCTCTACGAAGGCTAAGGTACTAAAAATAGATCAAACGACACCAAAACATTGTACCATCTAACACAGTCACTCTACCTAACAAGGCACATAGTACGTCCAATCTATTTCAGCCCACAACGTCTCCTTCTCTCACGCTAAAATTATAAAGAAAAAAAACTGATCCGCTTTATCCTCGCCCCC